CAGGTTTCACCATTCCCTGATCATCAGCGTGGCTGCAATGGATGTCGCTGTTCAGCGCTGCAGTCACTTGACCGCAGGGCGCGTTGGCCCTGTGGCAGAAGGAATGCCACATGGGCAAAGGGCGACGCCTGAGGACTGCCTCGCATCCTATACGGCCAGCTGCTGAGGGGCTGCAGCAATGGGGATGGAAGGGCAAGCTGGGGCAGCGGTCAAAACGCCCGCCGCGGCATGCTGAGCGATTGCATCGTGCGCTGCAGGCTTTGAGTGCCGATTCCCCTGCAAAGCATCGTTCCTAGGTGTCATGCTTCCTTGCATCTCCGCTCGCGGCCTGGGCGAGGCGCCCCTGCCCCACCACTTCCAGAACAGGCCGCAACCCTCCCGCAAGCCCACGGCCAAGCCTGCGCCTCAGGCTGTCACGGTAGGGCCAGTCACGCGCAAAACAGCCGCCAGAGCGTGTGCTGTTGTCGGGCGACCACTCACCTTGCTCCGCTCCTGCGCCCTGCCCAACCGCAGGCGGCCCCGGTCGGCCGCCCACCGTCGCCCACGGGCGATCCTAGCAGCAGCGGAGGAGGCGGGGGCTCCTTCAGCGGTGGCGGCGCAGGCAGCGGCGGCGGTGGGGGCGGCGGAGATAGCCGCGCGCCTGCGCAGGTGCGACACTACACCTGCACTGTGGGGTGCCTGCCGCCCAGGGGGGTGCAGTGAAGGGTCCAGTTTGCTTGCTGTTGCGCCATGGCGTGCCGCTGTCCTGGTTGTGTGGCGGGCAGGGCCCGCTGACGGGCCAGCTCGTGACAGCGGCCGTGGCACCGCGCCATTCCTTGTTGTGGGCGACCATACAGTCGCTTGACAGTGCCGTCCGCCTTTGTGTGCTTCCGCTGCTGCAGGTGCTTCCCTTTTGGACGCATGAACGGTTTCAGGCCATAGTCGTGGTGGCGGGCCTCGTCTTCGGCTACATTCATGTGTGGCAGCCATCCCACGACCATCGCATCGCCACCTCGGCTTCGCTGGCCTCACTGCAGAAGGGCCAGAGTGTGCTGGAGAAGGGCCTGAGTGTGGTGGAGGCAGATGTGAAGGAGATCAAGTCGGTGCTGCAGGCCATGCAGCTGTCTGATGCAGAGCAAAGGGGCAGCAGCAGCAGCAGCAGCAGCAGCCAGGCCGCCATGCTTGACCGCCTGCTGCAGTGCTGTGGTGTCGGCGTCATTGCGTACTTCTGCCGCACCCGCTGAGTTTCTTTTCTGTCCTCACCTGTGAGCATGTGACAAGATCTGTCCGCCAGGCGCACCGCGGGGCGGATCGGGCCAGCCTTCAGAAGCTTGGGGATGAGGCCGCACTTGAAGGAGGATAGCAGCGCTGTGCCTCACTGGGGCACTGCACCGCGTGCATGGGCTAATAAGCAGTGGCAGCGGCGGCAGGCTTGAGGAGACTGACATGCAGGTGGGGAGGTGGTCGGAAGAGTGTGGGTGTGGGACTGCCAGCATGGGTAAGGAGTGGTGGTGGCCATCAGGCACACGCCGGTGGCACCCAGGCACAGGCGTCGGCTGGTTCCAAGCGGGTGGCAAGGCATGTGCACACAGCGGCACTGATCCCCCGGCCTGTGCCTCATGCCCCAAGCCCGCAGATTGTGGCCGGGGCGCTCAGGGCGGGCCTGGTGGGCGCCAAGCTGGCAGGTGCCAGCGAGGAGGCGCTGGCCGTGCTGCGCCTGCTGGTGCCTGCCCTGGTGGATGGGGGCGCACCCCAGGCATCCCCCACTCTGCTGTTGCTAGACCTGGCTGCTAAGCTGCTGACGTGCCTGGGTTCCCGCCCCATGGCAGCAGCCGGCCAGCGGTCCCATGGCAGCGGGCCACCGTCAAGGGTAATTGTGCGGCCCACAAGAATCGACAGCAGCTGCTGCCCTCAGCCAGCCTTGTTGTTGTTCACTGCAGTGCTTCAACTTTGCGACGCCCGACACGAGAGATTGAAGAGTCAGTCATTTGCATCATGACAGCTAGTGTCATGTAATGCTTGGCAGAGCTCTTGGTGGCACCAACAGCCTCTGGCCTTCACAGCATGCCAGCATTTGCCACATCGGTGTGCCGTCTTCAGGCCCGCGCCGCCATCTGTCGCTGCATGGCGTCGCAGCTGTCGGCGGCACACTGGCGCTGCTGCGCCTGGGTGGGTTGCCTTGGTGATCCAGCTGCCTGGCCGGGACAGAGTGTAGATCTCATGCAACACTGAGAGAGGCACTTGGGAGGAGCGGGGCCCAGGCACAGTTCAGGTGAATGGTGCACAGGCAGGGGCAGTTGGCTGGAAGGCGGGCAGACACGCAGCCGGCACACATTCCCGCATGAGCCTGCGTGCCACACACAACCAGGCTTCGCACCCGAGTCGTCCTGCGCGCCCCAGGCCACGCAGAAGCGCTCTTCCCCGGCGTTCTGGCGCCCCTGGAAGCGTGGTGTGGGCAAAGGCGAAGCGGCGCCCGTGCGGCAGCTGCGCCGCCACCACCGCTGCCGCCGTTGCCGGCTGCCGCTGCATGCGCTCGCTTCCACCGCTCCCCAAGAAGAAGAGAATACGCGGGACGCGTGATTTGTACTTCGGCCCAAACATGTCGCTCCCTGGCCCCTGTACTGCCCCTGCCTGTACCGGAACGCCGAGAGCAGCACAACGAGCTGATCATACCATACCACCATCCGGCCCAAATATCAGGCATATTGTCGCCTTGGCCTGGGGATCGCGCCTACAGCAGCATCGATCGCCGCGGAATGGCTGCCTGAGGGGGGCGGGCAGGGAGGGATGCTGGACGACTGGAACTCGCAGCTGACGGAGGCGGGGGAGGCAGCGGGCCTGGGCGAGCTGGTCGGCGCGTCGGGGGCTGCGGCGGCACCCGCTGCCGACCTCTTTGGCCTGGACCACCGCGCCGAGTTCCTGGCCAGGTGCGCTTTCCTTTCTTCCTTCTTTCTCCTCAGCCCGTCCGCCCTGCCACACATGGAAGCGCACGCCGGCGCCCCTGCGCCGAGCAGGGCAGCAAGGCCGGCGGCAGCTGCGTTCGGTCGTTCCCCCGTCCACGCCCTGCCCGCTGCCGCGCCTCGGGCCCGCCCCCCGCCGCCCGCAGGGGCCGCGGCCACGCCGTGGCCTTCACCGTCTGCAACGACGCGCTGTTTGTGGCCACCAGCCGCAACTTTGTGCTGCGACACGACCTGGGGGGCGACACCGCAGCAGGTGGCGCTGCTGCGGCAGCGTGTGTGTGTGTGTGTGTGCGCGGGTGTGTGCGTGTGTTGTGTCTGTTTGTCTGTGTGTGTGCGCGCGCGCGCACGCGTCTGTGTTTATGTGTGTGTATATATGTGTGTGTGTGCGCGCTCTCAGTGGCAGCAGGTGGGGTCGGGGCTGCGCCGCGGGCTGCTGGGAGGCCCCGCCATGCGCGCCTCCTGTCCTGTCGTGCTGCTGGGCAGGGAGGCACCCCTTCCTGGCACCCCCCCTGCTGACACCCCCCCTGCTGACACCCCCACCCCGCCGCACACCCATCTCCACCCCCACCCCGCAGTGGCGGAACTGGAGGCCAGCAAGAGCCCCGAGGCGCGGGTGCGTCGCCTGTTTGTCGATCCGCTGGGCCGCCATGCGCTGCTGACGCTGCAGACGGGCGGCGGCGGCGCCGCCGCGCTGGAGACTTTCTACGTCGACGGCGGGCTGAGGAAAGCGCGGGCGCTGCCGAAGCTGAAGGGCCTGGCGGTGACCAGCGTGGCCTGGAGCCCCGCGCTGAGGGCGGCGGGGTTCAGGTGAGGCCCAGCAGCCGCTGGCTGAGCTGCCGCCGCTGGCCGCCTCGGCCGGCGGCGGCTGCAGGCGGCGGCGGCGCGAGGGCGCACCGTGGGGGCCGGCAGGCGTGCGTGGGGTGTGGCTGGCCTGAGGCGGAGGCGGCGGCGGCGGGCTGGCGGCGCCCCGCGCTTCCACCGCCAGGGTTGCCGTCGTGTCCCGCGGCACGCTGCTCGTGTGCGGTGGGGCTGTACTGGGCCACACCCGGTGCCTGCGCCTGCTCTTTCCTGTTGGCATCTCGATTTCAACAAGCCACAACAGCATGTTCCAGCCGCATGTCTACTTTTCCTGGCTGTCTCTGGTTTAAACTGGAACCGCGTTTTGCGGCGAGGCGCTGCCAGGCAGCGGCCCGGCCGTGCTGCCCCGGCGCCGGCACCCCCACGCCGCCACCCCCACCCCCACACACGCGTGCGCCCCACCTGCGCCCCATGCGCCCCCCCGGCCTGCCTGCCTGCAGCGAGGCGCTGCTGGGCACCGAGGGAGGGGCCATCTACGAGCTGGCGCTGGAGGAGGCGGCGCGGGGGGGCGGCAAGGAGCGGCTGCACCAGCTGCAGGAGCTGCGCGGAGAGGCGGGGCCCATTGCGGGGCTGGCGCAGGTGTGTGTGTGTGTGTGCGTGTGTGTGTGTGTGTGTGTGTGTATGTGTGTGTGTGTGTGTGTGTGTGACTGTGTGTGTGGTGTGGTTGTTAGCAGAGTGGTGTGTGGCCGAGGCAGCGGCGGCGGCGGCGGCGGCGGGGTCCTGCCGGCGGCCTGCCTGCAGCAGCGGCAGCAGCGGGCCCTGCCTTGCCCTGCCCCACCGCCTGCCGGCGGTTCAGCCCCAACTCCTGCCTCCCACTCGTTCCTTGCAACCACTCCTGCCCACCACTCCTGCCTTGCCACCACTCCTGCCTGCCACTCCTGCCGCTTACTCCTGCCTCTTACTCCTGCCCCTGACCCCACCCCCACCCCACCCCACACACAGGTGGCACTCTCCCCCGAGCGGCGCCTGGTGCTGGCCCTCTGCGGTACCCGCCTGCACGCCTTCTCGGGAGGTCCCACCCTGGAGGCGGTGTTTGGGGCGGCGGCGGCGCCGGAGGGCGCGGCCGCGGCAGATGCCCGCGGCGGGGGCCACAGCCGCAGCCCCAGCCAGCAGGGGTGGCAGCCGGCGGGGCACGCCGTGGTGGACCTGCCCACGCAGGGCGGCGCGGCGCAGCTGCAGCTGCTGTGCCCCGCCGCGCAGCCCGAGGCGGCGGCGGCGGCGGAGGGGGGCCCGCCCTTTGACATGGCGCGGCCCGAGGCGTTTGCTGTGCTGGCGCCAGCTGGCATATACTACGGTACCCTGGACCTGGACCCCGCGCTGGCAGACCCGGGGGACCACCTCACCCGACACCACCTGCTGCCCGCCGCAGTGCTGCAGCAGGCGGGCGGCGGCGGCGGCGGCGGCGGCGACGAGCGGCCGCTGTCGCTGGTGGGCTGCTGCTGCGCTTACCTGGCCTGCTGCCTCTTCGCTGCCTGTTGCTGCTTGTCGAGATGCGTGCCCTCCTCGCCGGCATCCTTGCCTCGGGCAGGAGGGTCGGCTGCCCGGCGCGGCCCTGCGGGCGCAGCGGCCGGGCCGGTTCCACTGCATGCGCACGCGTGCCGCACGCAGACGCGGCCCCGCTGCGCCGTGCTGGTACCGCAGGCCCTGACGCAGTACCACCTGGTCCTGCTGTACCCCAGCAAGCTGCAGTACGTCAACCGTACCTCCAAGCAGGTACCTTGCTCTTGTGATGTTGCTGGGGCAGAAGGGCCTGGACATGAGAGGGAGGGTAGATCATTGGATGAGCTGTTTAAACATGTTTCTGTCTTGCCGCCCTTTCTTCACCACGCCTGTGTTTCCTGCTTTAACCGCCCCTCGCTCCCCGCACCCTCTGCCCGCCCGCAGGTGGTGCAGGAGGTGCCCCTGCAGCGCTTTGCGGCGCCCGTGCGCGGCGCCGCCACCATGCCGCTGGGCCTCTGCCGGGACCAGCTGGCGGGGCGCATCTATGTGCTGGCAGGTACGGATGTGGTACAGATGCGGTACAGAGGTGGCACAGATGCGGTACATGGGGCAGTACGGGGCGGCGCGGGCGGCAGGTGGAGCGGCGGGGGTGGGCGGCAGGTGCTGCCAGGGGCCGCCACGCCCTCCTCCTCGGCAGCAGCCTGCCCCACGCCCACGCATTTGCGCCCATTGCCCTGCTTTCTTCCTGCACCGTCCCGCCTCCTTCCTCCACCGCCCTGCTGCCTGGCTCCATGCGTCCCTCCTGCAGGCGACGACGCGCTGGAGGTGGATGGCTCCGGCGAGGACCGAGACATGTGGCGGGTGTGCCTGGACAAGGGCGAGTACCGCGCGGCGCTGGTGCACTGCCGCAGGTGGGCGGCGCGGTCGTGTGTGTGTGTGTGTGTGTGTGTGTGTGTGTGTGTGTGTGCGCGCGTGCCGTGCTGTGCTCTGGCGCAGCG